AATTTAAAAACAAAGTAAGTAGAACAAATGAAGTAAACATCTAATCGCCATGCCAGTCAGCACCATGTCACGCTGGCTGCGTCTGCCTCCACTCTCTACAGAGTTTTCGGCTGTCTTTGTTTACAGTCCTGAGTGTCAGACTTGAACTTTCACTCATGCCAGGCAAGTGTTCCACCACCCTGCTGCACCCTAGGACCTTCCTTTAAGTCATATCCCAGGAATGTATGTATTCAGCCCCAAATTCCCAGTGGGATGTCTCTTTGAAATTCAGAGAAAAATTAATTTAATAAAAAATATTATATATAGATACACATATATGTCACAAAAATATATATGCATATATAGTCCAGTACTCATATATTCCATATATAATGGTATATACACATATATGTGTATATATATGTATATTCTATTATACAGATATTCCATATATGTACATTCTATATTTTCCACACTATATACGTATGTATATACATTCAACTGTATATTTCCATACATATGTATATACACAACTATACACACATATATATTCCTCAATGTGTGTATATATTTCATACACACGCATAGATTCCACAATGGCCTTTTCACAGTTTTCAGAGTTAACCTTTAGCCTTTCATTGTGGACAAGTTTCTATTTGCCGGCTCCTGCCGGTGGAACAGGAGAAGGGCACACACCTTAGCTTCTTAGTCACCTCCAGAAACGAAAACGGAAGCTGCGGTGCCTGGCGGCCGGAGTGGAATGACCTTGGCTCCCCTCGGCCCCACGCCTCCTTTACAGCACCAGAGCGACGTGCCAGCCTCAGTGTGGAGGTCAGAATCCCAGCTGACATTTGCCAATGGACAGAGGTTCATTTGCGTTTGACTCGCTACAGTCTTCCATTCTGCAAAGCGACGCGAGGCCAACCTGATAGATGACAGAGCCCCCGGCCAGGCCCAGGCCCGGCCCAGGCCCGGCGCACAGGAGGCCTCTGGTCTGGCCCTTTTACGTCTGAATATGGAATTTGCTGCCTGGGATGATCAGGACAGGGTTCCCAGTCCTTCTTAATCTTGGGTTCTCTTCTAACCCCACACCCCGAGCTGCTGCTGCCCAAGGTTCTTTTTTATGATAGTAACTATCTGTATTTACATACATATGTGTTGGTATAAATATATTTTATATTTATGTATTTATATATGTTATATATATGTTTGTTCACTATATATGGGTACTGGTATTGCCATGGTATAGACAGGAAAGGGCTGGGTTCATATGGACCTTTAAAATTGTTTTTGTCTTTTTTTTTTAACTTTAGAGGAAAGGGGAAATGAAGGGGGAAGAAGGGGAGAATGCAGTCAAGAATTTATTGTATATATTTTTTGTATATATCTCAAAACTAAGAAAAGGGAAAGGGGTGTGCTGAAGGGGGTGAGAATGTTGGGGGGCACGGACCATTGTGTTTAGAAACTGCTTTGTTATATCACGTTTGCTTTGTACGATGACTTAAAGAGAATTCAAAAAATAGATTTTTAAAAACCCTTTTACAAAAATGCCAGATAGTCTCATATATACACAAATATACATATAGTTACATAAATACATTAAAAGGAAATATTGAACATTTCTTGTTGTAAATTGTTCGCAAATAAAATATTGAAGAAAAACAAGCCAAACACCACCACAGAATGCAGAAAATTGCATTATCATGAAAATTCAGTTGAAAATGAAGTCTAAGTTGAATATGCCTAAACCAAAAATACTGAAATCTCATGTGCCCCCAAATCTAAAGATTGCTGACACTGACGTACTATCACATGTGGAAAGTTCCACAACTGGCCTCATGTGATAGTGTACAGAGGACAAAGGGACACAGATATTGCGTCCGTTTACCTTCAGTGCACTCTGTGAGAAACAGGAACTTACTTTGGGGTATGGGTTCTAACCCCGAGATATTTCATTCTATTTATGCAAATATTCCAAAATACTCCCCTGATCCTAAGCACTTCAGAAAAGGGTTACTCAACTGATCATGTGATTTGATCATTAAGTTTTTTGTTATTATCCTTAAGTAGTTATATAAAAGAGTTGCCAATTAACAAAGCATTTCATGAATACAGTATATCTTGGTTAATGTTGATCTTTTTTATGGGAAACTAAGAATAAATTATGACAGTGATTGCTGAACTGAGTGAGCACATTTTTTAAGCAAGATGGTCTAGCTTCTCAGAAAGTTCCTACCCACTGTAAAGCTCTTGAAGAAAACTGAAGAGAGTCCTAAGTAACCCATAGACTTCTCCCATTCCTTATCTTTGAATAGTCTCATCTTTCTAATTTGGCACTTTACTGTATAGAAAGGAGACTTCCTGTGGAAGTTACCGGTGTCTACTTCTTGCCAACTCTTTGATCTACAGCTTGCTTCTTCTTGGGGCTTTTGGAAACATGGAAGATCGTTTTCTCAACTCTAGCTTCCTATTTGCTCTGAAATACCAGTGTGAGGTGCCAGTCTTGGGGAGTGTATTAGATCTAAAGGATTCCAAGCTCAGAGTTTTTACAATGCCAGTTCCATGGCTTAAGAAAATAGGTGGCATTTCAGTGGTTCAAAACTAACACCTTTTATCGATATCTGTATTGCATGTGTTCAGTTATGACTGGGGCTTAGGAGAAAGAACTAGGGCTCTGCTCGTGGGACCAAAAGCCCTGTGGGGAGTTGGCCTGGGCTGAGGGGCTGCTGGGGAGCTTGCTCGCCCAGGCTGGACTGCCAGCTCTCCTTTGCAGTTTGATAGCTTCTTGGGTAAATGCAAATAAATCAGATCATCCATTCTTGAGATTTCCTTAAAATAACAAAACAAAAGAAAAATTAACCAAAATTCTTTTTGAGCGCATCTTTACCCACTCTTGGAAAAATGCCCAAAGTCTCATTACATCGTATGACACAGAGCTGAATAGGTAATCAAGGATTTTTTGCTTGAAAATACACATTTCTTTTTTCCTTCCTAGAGCAATCTGTCTATATACAGAGGTCAGAATATCACTTGAAGATGATTTGCCTTTTATATTTAATAAGGTTTCTTTCCACTCTGATCTACCTAAGTCTTTATGGGTTCTGAGTAAGAATTCATTACACAGCCAAGTCTTCTTTTTTTTCTTTGATTAATCTTTCTTTTCTCCTTGCCAGTCCCAAGTTCAACACAGAGAGTGATGATTATTGTCATTTAAAAGGGGGGGAAATGGTTTTTTTTTATGTTGTGCTTTTAAAACCCATTGGTGTCATTACACAAGGTAAAGTTTCATCTAGAACTTTCTCTTACTCTCTCTCTCTCTCTCTGCCATCAGACTGGGAATTCCCATAAGGTCTGGATTTGGGAGAAGAATGGTTAGGAGTTATGCGTCTTCTCTGTGTGAAGCGGAGGGCCCTGTTGGCCCGCAGATGTTAAGGTTAGAAATATTTGTGCCGCTATCGGCACTTAGCAAAATGTATCACTATTTAGAGCTATAATCTTCAGTGGACTGTTCTGTTATTTAGTGTAAATCTTATATTCTCAGCCTTGTGTGTTAGCCTTGTAGCCTGTGCCAGCCAGGTCAGTCTCAATGACAGGATGTCTCTCTTCATATCCTATCTTGTGAATTTGCTACAGAAAAGATACACATGTGTTTGTACATGTATGTGTGTGTGTTACCTTACTTTCTTAATGCCTGCCTCTTTTTCTGCAAAAAACAAAAACAAAAAACCTCAATTAGATCAAAGTTGTATAAGACGTCTTGCTAAGTAAGGAAACACAGAGAAAGTCCTATAGGATTCAGGCTGTTCTCTTACCTAAGTAGCCAGTCAGAGACTCAGCCTCATCCGCATTGATTCACCCCTGGCATGAGCACAGGACATCATTTTGTCTGAGACTGATGCTGCCTCAACCCTCCCTGGACAGAAGAGACTGCATGCTTGACTTCTGGAAGATTCTCCATTGATTCTCTGCCCCCTTAAAACATTGATTCTCCTTTTGTGTATTTTTTAAAATCTTTCCTTAGAAAAACCTTTCTCTTCCTTCTCTCCCTCTTCCTTTTCTTTCTCCTTCTTTCTTCTTTTTGTGCCAATACTAGGACTTGAACTCCAGGCCTGGGCGTTGTCCCTTAGCTTTTTTGCTCAAGGCTGGCACTCTACCACGTGAACCACGCTTCCACTTCTAGTTTTTTGGTGGTTAATTGGACCTGAGAGTCTTGTGGGCTTTCCTGCTTGGGCTGCCTTTGAACTGTGCTCCTTGGATCTCAGTCTCCTGAGTCGCTAGGATTACAAGCGTGAACTATGGGCACTTGCTCCCCTTTCTTCTTTATGCAGGATAAAGCTGGCATCCAAGGTAGGAAGTTACTCTGCTTAGTGATTGTCTCCCCGTCACCCTAGTTTCTTCTGAGGGGGTCCCCCCTCCCTTGGGTGGAAATCCGTACTGTTGAGAACGCTTGCGACAGTGCGGAGCCTGGCGGAGTCGTCCATGCTTAGCTCTTTACAGCAGAGAGCTCAGGTGCTGTGTGGGCCCTGTGCTGCGGCGCCTGTGGGAGCCGGGAGCCGGGCCTGCGTGCAGTGTGCTCCGGGATGTGCGGGGAAGCCGGGAGCCGGGCCTGCGTGCAGTGTGCTCCGGGATGTGCGGGGGTCCCTGCAGGGGCAGGTGACAGGGGACCGGCCAGCAGGGAGGCTCACGGGAAAAAGCGTGGAGAGAGCCTTCTGGTTCTGAGCCCCCGGGTGGCGTTCAGAGAGTTTCAAAGGTGGCATTGCACCAGTGCGCCCCCCCCCCATTATAAAGCCCGCAGGCAGGATGTCCAGATCTCAGTTGGGTGATGTAACTCCCTTTTTCTTCCCTCCTATTTAAAGCACAAGCTTCTATTTCTTAAACACTATTTAAAAATATCTTGCCCAGTATATTGTGTGTGCGTGTGTGTGTGCGTGTGTGCGTGTGTGTGTGTACTGGAGGCGGGATGCTCTGGGTGTCTTAAGTAGTTCTGATTAACTAACGCTCACTCCTCTTTCCCCTCCCAGCCCTTTCTTTACAGAAGACACATTTAGACAATCACCGTTCACCTCCAATCCGAAAGATCTGCTACCCAGCGAACCTGCGCTTCACGGAAGAATACCAGCGCCAGGTATGGATGCGTTGTTGACTTTGCTTCGGCGGTTGGTGGCTTCACAATTACTTTTCTGAAACGTGCGGAATTTTCAGACTGTGGCTTCTGCATTGTCGCTATTGCGTTGAAGCGAGGGTTTGGAGAAAGGCAGAAGTGTGGGTGGGAGGAGAATGCCGCTTCAGCAGCCTCCAGAGCTGATCAGCATACAGTGCAGATGGTGATCACCCTTCGTCTTTGCTTAGGAGCTGAGCGTCTTAAGAGCTGGTTGTCCTTTCCTGGCTGATGCCCTGCCCAGGCCGTGCGTTTCTTTGCCTTTAAAAGGCGAGGTATCACCCGCGAATCCTTTGCTTTCTTTCCACATTGTTTCAGGCAGACCGCCAGCTAGGTGGGGAGAACACCACGCGAGGTGGTGGGCCATGACCTGGTGGGGTGCTGGTCACCACAGAGACCACTCCGGTTTCCATAGAAGCAGCCCAGTGCTCCAGAAATTCCATCTCTCCTTCCGCCAGCCCACCTCCACCTGGCCGCCCAATGCTCTTCCCTACCCTGCTCCACAGCGCAGCTGTGAACACAGCATTTCCTACTCATGCTTCCTTTCCCACTTCTCCTTGCCAGACTAAAAGAAAAGAGGTCCTTGCTGGGTTTTGTTGGTTTGTTTGTTTTTACCGACAGCATGGCCACCCCTTGGGCTTGGTGCCCAAGTTCTGCACATTCTTATGGAGTGCACACAGAGGACTATGTCATCCATACTGCCCTCCCGCCCTGCCCCCACTGCACCCCCAGTTCCTCAGCCAGGAGCTTCCTCCCAGCTGTTGACATGATCTCAGCGGTCCCCACCTTCATGTGTCCAGGGAAGCAGAGTGGGAGGCTGGCGTGGGCAGGAGTAGCCCAGCTGGTGGCGATTGCCTCTGCCTCCTTGGAGAATAGAGTCCCAGTGTCCTCCACGTCGAACCAGGAGCCGGGTCACCAGGCACTGGAGGGCAGATTAATTTGTAATGCAGAGTCAAGTGGTGTCTGAAATGCTGGCGTGGTGTGGCAGGCATTAGCAGTGGTTTGTGACACACAGCAGGGAAAAGCCATTCTTTAGTGTCACCTTGTCACCCTTCCAGCCCTACTCATCCAGCCAGAGTCCAGATACCTGCTCGTTCCTTAGTTTTACAGCCAGGGCTCTGTGGCGAACCCTCAGACACGGCACGCTTACCCAAGAACACATTACACAGTATCTGGTTCTAGGAGTGGAAGAAAATTCTGCTTAGTTTGTGTCTTCATTCTCAAACAGGGCCTCGTGGAACTACTGTTTCCTTCCCACAAAGTCATTTTAAATAGCATCTCCCTGGTCCCCAAACTATTGCCCTGCCGTGAAGTTATGGATTGTGACTTTCTAATGTCAAAATAACCGCCTGGAATTGCCTGTCAGAGTGCCGTGACCCGCAGAGCCAGCACCTCGTGTGTGGACCGCAGCCTGGTGTAGATGTATACACACGGCCCGAGCTTCCTGTGGCATGCTTGGCTCTGCTGGGTTTATCACCTGGGTTTAGAAGAGCAACACTCACTTATGTTTAACCGCACGTAGGGGGCTTTCTATGACATTGGTAGACTTAGGTTGCATACTAGATAAAGTCATACTTGAAATTTAACTTTTTAGCAGAGGAAAGGAGGTCAGCTTAACTGGGATTTAAAAAGAACGTGAAGTCCACCTGCTAAAGAATAATCGTCCTTCAATGGAGGCTTTCTTAGAGGAAAACCAATATGATTACTGTATTGTTACATCTCGCTAAAATAAAGCACTAAAAAGGAACTTTTCTCTCTTGACATGCAAGGGGAAAGTGCTTTGGAAATAGAATTGATATATAAGGAAGAACCTTTGTGATTATGGAGTTTTCTGGTGGTCTGAAGACAGTCTTTAAGGAAAGCCTCAGTAATTTGGACCAACTGGAAAGAAATCAAGCTGAATGGACCAAAGTCCACAGTGTGGAGATTTTTAAAGACAATTTATTCACATCTAGCCAATATGAATGACCACAGCTCCCTCCCCAATCACAACTCCAACATATAAAAACAAAAATAAAGCAGAAAGCTCAGCATACCCAACGAAAATATTGAACTACTTTTAAATAGGCTCCCATTAGGTTTAATGGAGGGCATTCATACATTCTGTTGCACGAAGTTGTATTTTAATGAGATGTTCCTCCGGGGCTGGGATGAGATGTTGTATAAAATGTGTTGTGTGTCACAATGTCATCTGAAATCAGGAAAAATGGCTGAATATCAAAATACATCTCCCCACCGGTGTCACATAGCTATTGTGAACCTGTACTTAGTATTCTAAATAGTCTTTGTTCCAGTGGCCCTTTGCTAAGGACCTGTTCCAGTGCCAGGAACAAAGAAACTGAAATGACAGCTGAAGAGCCATGGATTCTTCTAGAAAACTGGAAGATCTTTTAGGCAGCAGAATCATGGGGTGGGTGGGTTCAGGAACAAAACTCAGGAGCCCATCCCAGGTCTTCTGGTCCTAGGGCAGCATTATCAAGGGAGCTTGGGCTAGCAACAAAGGAGGAGGCTTAGGAAATGGCAGGGGGTAGGCTGATGGTTTGACAGACAGGTCAGCTTTGCCATAAGCAGGTTGAACTAGCAAATGAGAGTGTCTGTGCAGAAATGAGAAGCCCAGGAGGAAGACAGCTGCTGTTAGTGAGTAGACTCAAAATAACTTGTTATTAGTATGTAAGGAGGTCTTTGCAAGCCTTCTCTCAGATAGTTCAAAAGTTACCTTTAAAATATCCTTTCTACCCTTCATTTACATTGCTTTTTTTTTTGCAAACATATATGTCAGCCAAGGGTTGGAAATGTGGCTTAGTGGCAGAGTGTTCCCCTAGCATGCATCAATCCCTGAGTTCAGTTCCTCAGTACCACAGACACAGAAAAAGCTGGAAGTAGTGGCACTGTGGCTCAAGTGGGAGAGTGCTAGCCTTGAGCAAAAAGAAGCTCAGGGACAGTGCCCTGCCCTAAGTTCAAGCCAAAAAAAAAAAAAAAGCCAACCAAGAGATTTAACTTAGATTTCCCATTGGTGAAGATTATCACCAATGAGGTTTCATGTGCCTAGTGCCAGTATTGAGAAGGATGGAGGGGGTGCACTGGTCACGATGCAGTCGTGCTCACAAACTGATACGCTGAATTGAAACCCCTTTGTACTTAAAGATGATAAATAAACAAACAAATAAGAAATCCCTGTTAAAGGGTAAAAACACACGGTATCATTTCAGCATTAGATCTTGGCATACCCTTGTGGAATGCTATAGTTTGAATTGGGGGTGTTCTCAAGGGCTATGTTTTGAAGTCTTGGTCCCCATCTTGGTGCTGTTTGAGGTGGTCGAGCCTCAGTAGAGCGTAGTAGGAGGAAGCATGTTACTGAAGGGGATCTGGGCCCTCTGGGCCCTCTCTCTCTCTCCCTCCGTCTCTGTCTGTGTCTCTGTTTCTGTCTTTCTGTCTCTCTCTGCTTCCTAGCCTCCATGAGGTGCAGCTTCGCTCCACCACATGATCCAGACATGATGCACTGGGCCACCGAAGGCCCAAAGCAACAGGACCAGCCCACCATGGCTGAAACCTTTGAAGCTGTGTGCTGGAGGAGGGCACCATTTCAGGCTGAAGCCTGTGGGCCACGGGGGTCCATGTAGATTTGCTGTGTTGTGAGGGTGCTTCAGGGCTGATGGAGTGAGTGGGAGGGAGGGAGGGAAGTAGGGTGAGGTTGGTAGATCTGAGGACTGTGAAGAAATTGAGAATAGCACAGTTAACTAGGCATTTGCCTTCAGCAGATGGTATCTGCAACTCACAGCTGCCACCATTACAGAGAAACAGAATAAACACAGAGCCTCACAGTGTCCCGGGCTTGCTTCTTGCCAGGATTTCTAGACTGGCTTTCCTGAGAGTCAGAAAAATACTCAGGAGCCAAGAAACCAACCTTCTTCCCTGTCTCTTTGAATGTCTTAGACAGAGGCAACATCAGGAACCCTTAATACAATGATGGAGTAAAACCCGCCGTCACTGTCTGTGGATGTGGATTATTGAGTGCACCCCCCAGCAGTGGTGTTGTGGGAATGAATTTTACAAAAGAAATGAAAGAGCTTTCCTGTTATGGGGGAGATAGAAGTTACAGACCGTGTATAATTTAATCTACTTTGTTTAATTTATAGTGCTCTCACTTGTGCAAGATTAACAGTCATAGAAGGAAGATTCTGAAGCTGGTGGTTTTCAGGGTATGCAGCAACTCTGCACTGAGAGTAGACCATTGCCATCATACCTGCGGCTATTGATGCTTTCCCTTCGTCCTTCAGTGCGCAAGGGCTATTAAGGGGACTGGGTGAAAGTCTGCCTCAGTCCTGCAGCAAAACAATGTGGAGCTTCAATTTTGTTATTATGATTTTGAAGTCACAGTATGTTTGCTCTGTATTAAGCCAAAAAAACAAAAACACAACCAGAGTGGGTGTGAAGGAAAATGTGGGTCTGCCTGGGATTCTTTCATAGTGTTTGGAGTTACCAGTGCTTCTGTTTGTTATTTCAGATGGAGCCTGGAGTTGGAGGATGTAAAACATATCAGCTATTATATTTATCAAGCCCTACCCCCTCATTCTTTTCTCACTTGCTTTAAATAAGACTTTCTTGTTATTTAGAATAGATCAATAAGAGGAGAAAATAAAGAACATTAGCATCCCTTGAAACACAGGGTTCTTTGTGTAGGCAGGGCAGAGTTTTAGTTCCTTCCCAGACTTGGGATGCCAGTCAGGATTTGATGGTAAACCAAGACAGGTTTAGAAATGGTCTACCTTGTCCTCCTGTCCGGTTCCTAAGCCATTCTCCCCCATCGATGGGCTCCAGACAGAACTGTGCCACGTACTCCTACGGTTTGCATCTTCTTTGTCTCCGAGGCTCTCATGTTGAAGACTTAGTCTTTAGCTGATGGCACTCTTGGGAAGTTTTAGGAGGTGGGGCCTAGAAGGGGGACCTTTGAAGGTGCCCCTCCCCAC